ATGCTGCTCTACTTCACGGCAGAAAGATGCACCCTTCGCAGCGAAGCTGGGTGCGCGGTACTGTATCTAACGTGCAGTACTATTCACTACCGCGGCTACTTAACTGAGGATTCATCAATAAAGGATTGAAAAAAGAAGTCTGGCTAGTCAAACTACAATGGTGTCAATAGAACAAGCTTTTTATTCGCTGAAGTTTCGAAGTAAATAAAGAGATGCAAATCGGAAAGACCCAGCTCCATCGCACAAGTGCAACCTGTTTTGATACATAGCGACCATAAGGAAATTTTTCTGAAAATTCAAGCTGCGGCAATGATTGGCATAGACATTCGACGGAGGAGGCTCAAAGAAGAGAAGAACACAGTTTAGACGCAAAAACCAAATACCGAAGTTTTCGGTTAGATTTATGCACAGCTTATCATCAAAATATCATCGGGATGGCTGCAGCATTAGCACGACGCTGTTCCGGCGCTGACAGGGACAACTGGGCACATCCCAGGTACTTTCCGCAGAAAAACCAAACTGAAAGCATACCATCCAGTACTAGTTTAAACGCATCATTCAGTTTTTCGAAGTGAAATTCTGCTGGAGCCAAACCGATAACAACGGCATTAGGATTGGATGTATCAACACCTGCAATACCACTGCTGTTCTGCGTAGTGAAAAGCGACCAGCTCTATTACCTTGAAAATCTTCCATAGCTTCCTTGGCCAAAATGAGCATGGGACGTAACTTATTCTGTTCAACATAATTCCTGGCAGCCAGAAGTGACGTGAAGATCTCATTCTTCTCAATCCGAAAACCGCATCCAGTCACTCTTTTGTGTAAAACATTGATGGACTCCTGCGATAGGCAAAATTTACCTTCCAGCAGTCAGCAATGAAGTTCTTGGTTTCATTTTTTCTTCCGTTATAGACGGGGCAGCAAGACGAAAATAACAAAGAACAAAATGCAGCCTTCATATTTCGTCTCGCAAAATTCCCTATCGCATGAAGATAGATATATAATATGGCCTATACTAATATTTACGAAAGTACCTAGTAAATAAGCATAAGCGACAAAAGTATGCAAGCTACCGACCTATTTTTTTCCCTCTAAAGTAAATCTGAGGCTGCCGTCATACTGATCCGCAGGTTCGGGAACAGTTCCAGCACAGCGCTCAAACTAAGCGCTGTGCTGGAA